TAGTTCAGAGATGATGAGCTCCAAGTCTTACGCACATTTAGTCAACTAGTTTTATTTAAAAGGAACTCTATTTTAACATGAAAGAATGTTGGATATGGAAGAATATTCAGTAGATTTCTCAATCCCTAATACATTCAAATTATATAACAAACTTTAATAGTATATCTCGAATATTTGTACAGCTCTGGCTATATAGTGTAAATATAAATTAATTCAATGTTGCAGTCGGGCGTGAATGAGTATAAAAAGTATACTTGCATGCAAAGTATCTCATCTAGATGCCCTAATCAAGCCATCTAGATCAGCAAAAATTAGATTAGAAATATCATAATCTGTAAATATAATAAAACATATTTCAAAGACCTACATCAGCCGATTTAATATTAAGTATTCTAGCCAAATCAACTAATCGAGACATACAGATCAGTGAAGCAAACACAATCAATAACTGCATAGAAATAGTAGGAAAGATTGCTTAGTCAAATTAAAAATATAACATTGATGAAAAGAGAACCGTCAATTATAGAAGGTTCAGATTTCATGTAAGCCACAAGTCACAAATTGCTTTTACACCGTCAAAACACAACAAGTAATTATAGGCTAACAAGAGCTTGAATTTTAGAGGAGCTCAAATTGAGAACTTTGCCAGGCGAAAGCGAATCGGGCCAAGCTGTGAACCTAACGATTTATGCAGCTGTTGACTTGCAATGCAAAAGGACTCTACTAGAAAAAGAAATCCGATATAAATAATGAAATATTTATGCATGTGTCGAGTGTGTGTGCCTGTGTGTGCGTGTGTGTCGCTTTTATTGTTGTGTCAAATACAAAGGGATTGAAAGCTAACACACACAAATGCTCACACATGCATAAAGTCCTTATGGGGGCATAATAACAATAACGAGAACAACGAACAACAACTTGAAGCTGCTCTAAGCACATACACACACACACTCATATACACACGTAATGTGGTTGCATGTATATGTATGATATGTATATTTAGTTAGGAGTGCCCTGTGCGCCTCCATCCTGGCCGTCGTGATTGGCGCGATAAGCACAAAAGCCGCAAGATAAAAACTAAGAGAAATCGACAATGGCTCGCACGTTAAGTGTTTATAGGTTGAATCCACGTATAACTATATGCATATATACATACATACACATATTTGGTAAAAGATTACAGCTGCAGCCATAACAATAACACTTAAAAGCCAATGCCAAAGCCAACGCCAAGCCAAGTTATATCAATGGTTTCTAGCGAGTGTTTAAGCATAGTATTTAAAGCTGAAACGCTGACGGCTTTGGCCATAGCCTGCTGTGCGATGGCACCGCAGAGACCCACGGCTCCAAATCGAGGACACTGGCCAGATGAGAATGAGGATGCGGCTGTGGCTGTGGCTGTGGCTGCGACTGCGGATGCGAATGTGCATGGACTAAACTGAAATTTGTTTAAACAGTATTTGAAATTGGGTTACAGCCGAGTTGTTATATAAGGCCCTGGGAAGAAAACATGTGTGTGTGGCTGTCTGTGTGCGTGGCACACACATAAATCTCAACAAATATGCAGCACACAGCGTTCAGCGCACGCACTAAGCAACAACAAACACCAAAGTCATGGCGGGCACATGAATCACATCGTAGAGCTGAGGGGAAATAGTGGAAAGGGTGGCAGGGCTATAGCAGTGGCTCCCTCTGAACAAGTCAAAGGCCATTGCAAATGTAAACTTCAAGAAGGCCAAATTCATTTTATACGCAAGGCTAAAATTGGCCGAATAAACTAACAAAAATTGTCAGCGTTCTGCAAAGATTTACAACTCTTAAAGGGCGAAATAAAAAATGAAACACTTTCTAGAGCCTCACACAGCGGGTAGCGCGGGTAATTCCAATAAAAAGAAATATGCAAATGCTTGATAAAACTGTAAGAATGTGTTCTACAACTTATGGCTATTATAAACTTCATAGGCACTGAAGGAAGAGAATTTCAACCAAGCTTGCAACTGGGAAACCTAATTTATTAGTACGTATAAACTAAAGCTTAAACCAATTTAGTAAGGAAACATTATTAAAAAAAAGCTGTATTAATGTATTTTAATAATATATTTATATATATATATAATAATAAATATAATATATAAATTTTAAAATTTGAAGTCAGCGCCCAAAAACTCCGTCTTTGACAATGTAATTTTTGCCTCTCTATTTCCTCTCTCTCTGAGTGAAAATAGAGGATAAAAGCCGGAAATGAGCAGCGGTGCGCTGCATAAGTATAAAAACAAAGATAATTTCAAATCAACTATTTAAAAGGAGCTCTAAAGCTTGCATATATAAATCAGCTTTTCCATAATATATAACAGGCAGAAGCACTTGTCCCGGAATAAATATTGTACTACAAATTAAAAAATTCCTTGCAGAGAACTAAGAGAGAAGTTATTCATTCATTTGGTGAAACTATTCAGACTTCATGGCTTTAATGGTTTAGAGTGAAGATTTATATTGTAGTTTGCTCTAGTTTATGGTTTACTCTCTTTTCGTGCATTAAAATCTTTCCTGTGAGTACATGATTTCGTTTGCTTTTAACGCTAGTTGCATATATATTGCTCTGGCTTTTGTTGCCAGGTCAAACCAGAGAGCTTTCCCATGTTTGTGTATGTTGCGTACCTTCCGGACGTTTTTTTTCTAGTTTTCTTGGTTTTGGTTTTTGTTTTCTCTGTTCAGGTCACATTCACTGCGTCTGTTGGCAAAGCATTGAAGCCATCTGCTGGGCAATAGGCAAACATCCTTGCAACTCAGCTAGAATGCCACAAATCTAAAATCCTTAGTCAGTTAAAGCCCGCAAATCGTACATCAGCAACAGAAAAAATGAAGCGAACAAACAAGCGAGCAAACAAACAGGACAAGCAGAACAAACAGGGCGCACATTCAATTTAAAATTTCCTGTGTGCAGCAAGGACACGGGAGCTGAGGCTGACGTTGACGAAATGACAAACAGGAGGAGCGCATCAAGCGAGCGGGCAAACTGTGCAAAGAGCACACGGGATATCCGTTTCCGTTCTAACAAGTGCCACCCCAAAAGACAGACAAACATAGAGTACTCACACTCACACACACATACACACTCGCACACACATACTTAGCCATAGACACACAGAGTTGCAATGAAGCGCATTTCGTAGTAGCTTCCGGTGCTCATATACAGCAAAATACACTCATACACACACCAGTATACACACTCACACATACACACACACCCAGTCTAAGGTTCTGCTACATGTAAAATTGAAATTGACATAAACACAGACACAGCCGCTTGATTGTGCGGCTTGTGTGACTGTTGCTGGCTATAAAAATGTACATAACACTCATACGCCGAGTGGCACCAAGTAACAGCGACAACAACAACAACAGAAGACAAATGGACTGCAACAAGGGTCACAAAGAAGGAGTGGGCTATGGGGTGGATTGTGAACAGTCAAGCCAAAGCAAGGCAAGACAAGGCGAGGCAAGGCGAGGCAAAGCTGACGCAGGCATTCAACTAAAAATCTTTGTTATTTCGATTCTTTTTATCTGAATGTAGCTAATTTGATCAAATATTCAACAATATGGAGAAAGAGGGTAAAAAAACAGAAGGTGAGAAAGAGACAGAGAAGAGTGTGTGTACGAGGAGCAGCAGGTTGGTTGGTACTTCAATTGGCGGCGATTTAAATATAGACCTGACTACATGACGGCCTATGAATCATTAATGAATAAACAATAAAAATAGATCAAGTGCGCATTGATAATAAAATATAAATAGGTATAGGAATTATACAGATATTATTAATTTTACAAGTGTTAGCCAGAAGAGTCTTGATTTTTTCTTTTAAATATGGGAAATGGCTGCTATTTATGTTTAGTATTACTAATGCAGGAGGAGAACGGAGGAGAGAATGTCTTACAGCCCAGACATTAAAAAAAAACAATGGATGCATATGCATATACAGCGTTGTTCACAAAAATAGTATATATATAATATATATATATATATATATATATATATATATATATATATATATATATATATATATATATATATATATTTATAATTATATATTTTTTTTATTTGTATATATATATTAATATACATAAATATATTTCATTCGCATTCACAATGGAAACTCAGCATTGAACTTAAGATTTGTTGAAAAATTAAATAAATTAATTAAAAACAATAATTCATATACTTATCGAGTATTTCGTATATAAAAAGAGGTCTAGCTTTTTTTGAAAAATTAAAAGAAAAATTTTGAAATTAAATTAAAAAATGCAAAAAAAATTAAAATGCGTTCTTCAGAAGGAGCAGAACAAAGAGATCCTTGAGGAATTTACTATTATTTACTAATATTTAAGTAAGAAATGGAAGTTTTTTTATCAATTCTATACTTGATACATTTGATCAATATGGTTTAAGAATTAAAAAAAAAATTAATACATAAAGCAAAAAATTAAAATTATTATTAATTTTTGTAAAAGATAAATATATACATTCATGTATTTACTTGCAATGTTTCATAAGTTGAACAAATATTTAGTATTGTGGGAAAACCAAAAGCTCCAGACAAATTTGGAAATACTTGTATAATTAAGAGAAAACATGTGTCTTATGCATACAAATATTATATATTAAATATAATAAAACATATATAAATATACATTTTTTATATAACAAATATATAAAATAAGTATAATAATTTATATAGCTTTATTTACTTTTTATATGTATTTACTTTTCTTTTTCTTATTTCAGACAAAATATTTGATATGTTTCCCTGATAGATAAGTGATCTATGTAAACCATACAAAAGCTCAACAGCGAGTTTAAGGGTATGGTATAGGTACCTTAGGACAAATACATTTTTTAAATATTATAGGAATGAGAATTCCAATAAAATATATTAAATAAACAATATACAAATATAATATAAAAATATGATTACAAATATTAAAAAAAAAAAGACACTTACTTTGCAAATATTTCCAAAAAATTATGACGAATTCTATTGCAGTCGATCACAAAATCAAAAAAAAAAAGACATTGAACAAGTGTATATATATTTTTATATATTTATATATGCGACACGTTTTGCAGTTCAACCAATGTCGAATGCAGTTGTCGCGTCTTTCTAATGGATCCGAGAGTACGTATATAGGTACTACTAATACATATCCATCTGTATATATATATATATGGGTTTTTATTTATATGTTGCTCATACGCTCATTCAGCTACTTGTGGATTCTTTTGTTTCGGATTCGTTATGCTCAATGCAATCGGCTTAGAAATGTGGGTTTCTCACACAATTATTGTTAATTTTATATCGAGAATGTTGTTTATAATATACTGTGCGACGGTCAGGTGTGCAGGAGACTAAATGTTAATTGTATGCGTGTTTCTTTTTGTGGATGCTCTGCTGGCTTTTGTGTTTTTGTTTGTGCTTTACGCGCGCGTTCGTTTCGTTTTAGTTGTTGGTTCGTTTCACACTAAGCGACACGAAAATCATTGAAATTTTCTACTCAAGCGAAAATGTTTTCGTCTGCTGACGGCGACGCAGACGCCAGCGCCAGCGCCAGCGCCAACGGCAACTGCGGTGCCGAGCAGGAAAAACCCAAAAAAAAATCAACAAAAAAATACTCTCATTTATTTTTTCAACTGCAAGGAGGTAGCACTTAAGGAGAGCATGAGAGAGTGACAAAGTGGGAGTGAGCGAGTGGGAAAGAGAAAGAGAGAGAGAGAGTGTGAGTGAGCACTAATGGCTAGCAATGAAAAGCTTTTTCTTCTTCATTTCTTTGTTTGTTTTTGTTATGGCGCGCTACGAAGTTGCCAGACTGCCTCAATACCAACATGGCGAATGCGTAATGCGTTTTTTTAAAACGCCAAACTCGTGTGCCACAAGCGTCTGTATGTGTGTAGGCATGTTGGGGGCATTTTGATAATGTTTAGCGTTTATAGTTGCGGTTGGGTCTGTGTAGAGCAGCAGGATTTCTTCCTTAAAGCATTGCTTGAATTTTAAGCATTTTTGCTAACAATTTTCGTGTGTGTGCGGAATCACAATTACAAATTAACATATACATATATATTCAAAATATGTTCAAGCTGAAATATGGACTATGTGTTGAGCATGTTTGTTACATGGCACTAAAGGCAGTAGCTTAAATTTTCTACATGACTGCTCTTGCTGTGCTTTACAAGAGCTACTACAAAAGCAATAAATAATAAATTTGTTTTAGAGTAGAGTGAGAATCAGACTTGTTGTCTACATGTTTAAGATGTCATTTTATTCAAAATATCTTATTTTAATTTAGAATTCAATAATTCAGCACTTCACAGAATACTGAAAATCTTGCTAAGATTTTCATCTAAATCTAAGTTAAATTTGTACTACTGCTTAAGCTTAATATATATACAAACATTTTTACTACCATTAGAATTCTCAACCCAGAAACTCTTTTGATGTGGCAAGCCTTTGCATACCTTTCACAAATCCTTTCATCATATGGCGCAATGTCAATTTAGAGAAAGAAACAAAAACTTTTGCTTGTCTTTCTAAATTTCCGTTAAGTTCATTGAGAGGCAGGTCGCAAATTAAACAGAGTAAAGCACATAAAGCCTGAGAAGCAGTTTGTCATGTTTAACCTTCGTGACGGACTTATTGGACCTTGAATTATAGATTAATTACAGTCGGAAACGAGAGCTGGAGGTGTGCGGCGCAGGCGAGGGCGTCACAATGATGTTTTTACAATAAAACCCTGTTCAAGGACTCGCTTGGCCACTGTCACATAGTCGCACTCAACACATACATGCATTTAATATGTGCGCGTGTGTGTGGCATCTACAGGTAGCCGCAGCAACGATGCCCCCAACAGCTTACTTCGATTTTCTAACGAAATCGAAACTCTACACTGCAAGAGAGCAGCAGCCGAGTGGAAGAAAGAGATAGAGAAAGGGAGGGAGGAGGAGAGAGAAAGAGAGAGAGAGAGAAATACAGAGAGCGCAAGGAACGAGAGAGAGAGTGTGGGCAAAAGCGCAAAATGCGCTTTAGAAATGCATTCAACTGAAGCTGCATCGCAACGGCATAAAAAGTCTTTGTCTACTAGCTAATTTTACAGTTATATCTTCTATTTTCTATTTTGTTTGCTTACGTTTTGTTTTGGGTCTTCTGCTTGCTGGGCTGTATTACAAATTTTTCAGTTCAGTGCTGTTAATAATTCATGACAAATATTTGGATGCACATACACACACATACACGCACACACTAAGCCAAACACACAGCGCGTAACTGACACAGCAACAAGAAAAAGCGTTGTGTGCTTCGAGGCGCCCGCAAGGACCAGCGCCTATCTCGACTGTCCTTTGCCAACTGAAGGCGCGACACGAATATTGTTTAGCTTTAAAGCGCCGTCGAAAGCGGATTGCACTTGAAGCTTCCACTGCTGACCAAGTTTCGGCTTGGCTTCGAGCGAGCGCCTCGGCAGCTCGACTGCTCGGCTCGTGTCAGCTCGTGCCTGTGTCTGTGCATGTAGGCCAAAACAGAAACGAGCCTCCTTTTTATTGAATTTTTGCGCGCACGCATTAGTAGATAAGCTTTCAATGGCACGGTAAATGGTGGGTTGTGTGCGAGTGAGAAGAGGGCGGCAAAGCTGAAGCGTATGCTTGCGGTAAATTGCAAGCCCACCAAGTTGTAAACAAATCATTAAATGCCGTACAATAATTTGTTGGAGTGATAAGCTCAGGTGAGCTTTTACAAAAGCTTTATTGCTTAAATCTACAATAACAATTGAAATAATATGAAGTGTTAATTTATGTGGTATGAATATGATACGAATAACTGAAAAATACTATGACATGAAAGAAAATAAATTATTTTGTATATATGACTTCTATTGGTATGCATTTATTTGCGTGTTTACCTATTGTCGACTTTAACAATATGCTTGGTTGTCTTCAAATTGATAAACAATTTCTAATCTTAAAGCGCCCCCTTTTAATGAAAGCTGTGGAAAAGCTCAACGGCACCCTACAGCACAATGTAAACAAATATTGTTGAAGAAAAGCTTTTGCGCCAGCTCATACAATTAGTAACGCAGCAACAATGATAACACAACTTTTGAAGTCCGCTAACAGAGCAGCAAAAGCTTTTCACAACAACAACAACAACCAACAACGGCACAAGAATATTTTGCGTGTTTTTTTGTTTGCTTTGAATTTTGTTTATTCTGAGAGCAGTTGCTGTGCTGCGCTGTCGCTGTCGCTGTTTCAATGTTCGCTGAGAGTTAGGAACTCATTTAAGGTGGATGCACACATACAAATACATAAACACGAACACACGAACACACTCACACGCTTCGCAGAGGAAGATGAACATTGGTTTAGGGTGGTTGGTAACATGAATTCGAATCATATGGTAGGCACTGTTATTGCTTGCATTCAGGTAACAGTAAGTCGAAGCCGATCGCAAAACAACTGCGTAACGGTAAAGAGCATGCGAAGCAAAGTACAAAATAGAGGGCAATATATACAAAAGAATTTAATGTCGTAAAATTATTATTAATTATTATTATTAATACTTTAAATATTTTTCAATATTTAAGAAAATATGTGGATATATGTATATATTAGCTTATATATTAAAGATAATTTACCTATTTGGTTAGTTAACCATAATATTGATCAACATATTCACTAATATGTTGTTACCGTAATTCAATTATGTTTAGTGAGAGCCGAGACCACAGTGAAGCACATTTTTGTTGGTGTTGTTTCTGGCGTCGTCGTTGGTTTCGTCGTTTCTGCGTTGTGTCTCTGTCTCTTTGCATTTTGTAGCGCGCAGTTGCCGTTGCTCTGCTGCTGCTGTTTTGTCTCTGCAACTGTGTGAGTGTGTGTGCGTGTGTTCGGGTATGTGTGTGTGTATTGTTTGTATTATTTGTTGTTCGCCAGCAACAACAACAACAAAAAGTTGTACTCTTGTTGTTGCCAGCTGTTGTTCGCTCGTGTACGCTATGTGTGTGTGTGTTGCTGTGTTGGTGTGGCGTGTGCGAGAGAGAAAGAGAGCGCTTTGTGCGTTGTTCTCTGTTTGCTGTTGTCGTCGCTCAATGGTACAGTGACAAATAAAGGAGCAAAATAGTTGGACTTTTAAATATAATCATATATTGGTAACGTAATTATTGTGAGAATGTCAGAAACGTCCTTAAATATACAAAAATATATACAAATCTATAAAATGTACTTAAAATTTATATTCTATGTATACTTGTGAACATGTATATATATTTTCTTTAATATGTTTAGTTATATTAAAAAGCTTAAATTATTTTTTTTTATTTAAAATTTTATTTAGTTAGTATATGTCTAAGCCAAATAAATGTAAAAAATATATCTACACGTTTCTCATATTTATTACATAACTATATATATATTTATATATATATATTTTATATTTATTAAATATATTATTATTTTAATATGATAAATGTTGACATACTCAATGCAATTTTTAAAATATATATACAAATTTTTAAAAAATTTTCAACGTATTCCATGCTAAAATTCATATAAAAAAAATCATGCGAAAATGGGTAGATGCGTACCACTGTACCTGGTTGCCGCTGCTTGGCCAATTCTGCTGCTGCTGCTGCTGCGATAGCTGTTGTTGTTGTTGCTCTGTTGTGTTCTACTGTAGCTGATAGATACCGAGTATCCGAGTGTGTTTAGTCGCTTTCGTCGCTTGAAACGTGAAACATACGACAACTGAAAACGAAATTAAAATTGCAACTTTTTGTATGTTACGTCAGTCGTCCGTCGCTGTTGTTGTCACAGTCGCAGTCGCAGTCGCAGTCACAATAGCCGTCGCCGTCGCCGTTGCCGTCGCAGTCGCTGTTGCAGTCATCAGTGCTGCCATCGTCGCCATCATAGCGGACACTTTTTGGCGCCGTTTTGAGTGCGCGGCACTGGCTTAAATAATAAGCGCGATTCGAATTTATTTGTGAAACGGTTTTTCAAACAGTGGTCCGGAAGCATATTGCACAGTACAGGTAAAATAAACAACATGTTCGGAACGAAAATGTTTTCGAAATAATAAAATAGAAACCACCAGAGCAACAACAACAACAGCAGCAGCAGCAGCAACAATGCCTTGGCCAGATAAGCAACAACAATTCACCAACAAGAAATATTCTATATGCCATAGTGTAACTGTTTGTGTGCCAGTGTGTGTGTGTGTGTTTGTGTGTGTTTGTGCCTTTTGTTGCTGCTGCTGCTGCTGATGCTATGCTTGTTGTTGTAGCTGCTGCTGCTGCTGCTGCTGTTGTTGTTCTATCTAACAAAGTTATTGCCTTTGCCTTTGCTGCTGCTGCTGTCATTGGGCAGGGGGCAGCGGTTTGGGGAAGGGGCTGCCGGGTATTTCTGCAAGTTTTGTGTGTGTTTTGTTAGCTTTAGAAATATTCTGTTGTTGTTTTTTTGTGTTTTCTTGTTTTGCACGTTGCTGTACTTTTTGTGCGCTGTTGTTGTTATTGTTCTTCTTGTTCTTGTTGCTGTGTTGCTGTACAAATATATATAGAAGTATGTACGATACAGACATACAATAAACACGAGTACGTACACAGTTAGTGCTCACAAATATGTACAATACTAACTTAGGTATTTTATGTTAATAGACAAATCACAATTAATATTGCCAGCTAGCTTACTGACTGCCCTCTCTTCTACTTGTCATACGAAAACAACAACAAGAACAAGCACCGCTACAATAATAACAGTTGCGCAGGCGGTACAGCAACAACAACAACAACAGAAATTCAGCAAGCAGCAGAAACTACAACAACAAAGACTCTGCTGCTCTGCCGCTGTTGCTGCTGCTGCGTCAGCGACGCTGGCAACTGTTAAAGGCGAACAAACAAAACTAACGAAAACAACAAAAACAAATGACGAATAATACAGAACATACGACAGCGACAGCGACAGCGACAGCAGCAGAAGCAGCAATGGCAATAACAAAAGCAACGTCAACAGCAACAACAACAGCAACGATAACAACAACTGCCAGAACTGAAACACGCGCGCAGCGTAGAAGATGATAATGAAGTTGGCAATGTTGATAATAATGATGACGCCAAAAACAACATAACAACTGTGCCACAGTGGGCTGAATATAGTGCATATTTATAGCACAGCAAATTGTGCAAATATAACACTTTAATTAAAAGTAATTTGTATTAGCAAAACTTTTATTAGCGCCAATTAAAAGTAGATTATAAATAGTTATTCGTTGCAAATTGAATATATATATATATAATAAATATATATATATATATATATATATATATATATATATATATATATATATATATATACATATATATATATATATATATATATATATATATATATAAATAAACATATATATATATATACATATACTGATTAGGACAATTGCTATATTTCCAATTTAGTTTAAAGCTCACTCGTTATTTATTTTTTGTTGACCACAAGTTTAATGCTTTCAGCCCACTGTGCGCACGTTGTTTGTGTGTTAAACTGGTGGGCTTAGCGCAAGGTGCTGAAAGTGGCGGGAAAATTTGTTAAAGATTTTTAGCGACAACCGCAGAAAGAGAGACAGAGTGAGAGAGAGCGATTTATGAAGCAGCATAAAGAGAGTGGAAGAGCCCGAGGTGGTGCAAAGCTGAGTGGGTTGATTAGAATCAAAACAGGTAGTCGCAACAAGTAGCTGAGCAGTTGCAATAACAGTCGGTCGGGTAGGCAGGCAGACAGACAGTCGAATCATTAAACGAATCATTTGGTGAGTGAATATGAATTGCTGTGAATACATTAACTCAAAAGCCGACAGAGCTATGGCTGTTATCAAAACAGCTCTCTCTGTGTGTGTGTGTGGCGCAAAGAATGGCAACAATTTGCTACAATAATAAAAAAGAGTACAGCCGAATTGCCTGTTATACTTTTTATTTCGTTTATGACTGTTATTGTTGTTATTGTGGCTATAATAATACGAAAAGCAAACAATGTTGCCCATGTTGTTGTTGTCGTTGGCCACAAATGTCACGAAACTGCTTTGAAAATAAAAGCAAATACAACAACGACGACGACAACAGCGTCTAGTGTTTTATTGGGTTTCACAAAATATACAGAGTTATGACAACAGCAACAGCAACAGCAACAAAAACAAAATACCAATTTCAAAAAGCTCTCTGTCGTCGCCTGCTGCTGCTGCTGCTGTTGCTGAGACAGCAGCAAGACCAATACACACACATATGCAAGCCAAAAGCACTTGGAAACGGAGCACCCAACCGCATTGAGTAAACGTTTCTCTTGTTCTGACTGTTAGCAACAACAACAGCATTGTTGCTGTTGTGTATTGCACTTGCTGTTGTTATCAGCATGGCTGACAGCAACAGCAATGGCAGCAGCAGCGGGAGCATTGCAACATTAAACAGCAAACTGATTGCAAATTCTGTAATTAACAGACTGCAACAATAAACAAGACAACCACAACAACAACGAGTGGAACGAATATGACCACCTCAACGCCCAACAGCACCGCCACCGCCAGCAACAACACCAGCACCAGCAGCAGTACCAGTACCAGCAACAGCAACAACAACAACAACAACGATAACAACAATCGACAGGGGGACAGCGAGCGTGCAACATCAGCAGCGGCAACTTTATACAGCAGCAACAGCCCGACTGCAACATCAGCAGCCATAGGATCAACAAATCGTGTCATGCAAGCGGATGAGGATTTCAACATACGATTCGTTAATTTGGTGCGCACGCATCGCTGTCTGTACGACAAGAAAGTGCCGGAGTATCGCAACAGGTGAGTAAGCGATGGGAGCGTGAGTCGATTAATTGCTTTATAGAAACTGAATAGGTAAACTTTATGAGAGCCAAGCAGCTAAGATGTTGAATGGTGGCAAAATATATGATGTTGGAGATGGCAGCGTGATACGATTAATTAGCTAATAGTAATCTACATGAGATGTTAATAATGCTAAGTAACTGATATAAGGTCAGGCTGAAGATCAATAAATAGTATACATAGTGATGAGAGCGTGAGTCGCGAATTATGATTTACTAGAGGTATGTTATAGTGATGTATATGATGTATGTACTTAGTAATGGACGCGTGAGTCGTGAGCGTGAAACAACGATTAATTGGTAGATGTTCGTGCTGTTATACTGATCAATTGCATAAGATGAAAACTAGCTATATCCAGATACATAGCCTTAGGTATGAGAGCGTGAGTTGAGTAACGATTGATAACTGTTTAACAGTAATCAAATACTAGTACTTACTTTTAGTCATGGGTATACTGATAAGTTGGGTATATAAGGCGTGTGATCATACTAATGAGTCGCACAAGCTGAAGTCCAGTTGGGATATCTTTCAACTAAGTGGAAGTTCAATCGTCAAATTTGTATAAGTCTGCACCAGGAAATATATACTTTACTATTAACTATAATTACTGATAGATTATTGGAAATTATAAATAATATACATTAATAAATTACTTATCAAAGTGACAAAATGAGACTAGAACTAAATTTGTATAAATTCTTTAATAATTTCTTCAAGCTCCATTTTATTGCACATCAGTTTTATAGCACATCTAATGCCTTCTTCCACTTTCGACTTTGCAGAGACAACCAGGAGAAGGCCTGGGCGCTTATATCGAAAGAGACACGCGAGAGTGGTATGTCTTTAGCTTACCTGTTATATCAGAGTCTATAAATAGATATTTCTCACCCCCATCGCAGTAATTCATTGCAAGGAACGATGGAGGAATCTGCGTGCCTGTCTCTCGCGCTATATCAAACAGCAGAGCGGCTCGGAGCCACAGCACAAACCTTATTATCTGACCGAGCACATGGCGTTCCTGCTGCCCTTTCTCAAGTCCACGCGTAATTCAATGGATGGCAATACGAGCTTGGCTAGTCTCTATCAGTTCTCGCAGCAGCACTTGCAGTTGCAGCAGCAGCATCAGCATCAGCAGGAGCATTTGTACTGCCACAACAACAATAACAACATTGCTTTCAGCGAGTCCTTGGATCTGAAGCAGTCGCTATCTGAGAATGACGACGAGGAGACTATCGATGCATTTGATCCAGCCATAGCCGCAACGCTGGGCCTACAGCGTGCTGCACCCACACCCGGCTCAAATGTGTTGGCTGCACCCAGATCGCCGGCGCATAGCGAAACGGCGAGTGCGAATAGCCTGCAGAACTTTATACCTGACGTGCAGCTGGCTGAGTCTGGGCAAAATTTGATATACAACGATGCACCCTCCACACCGTTGCATCATCAAATGCAACATGCCCATAACCATGTGCTCCATCAGCATCACTTGCAACAGCAGCAGCATCAACAGCAGGCGGCGCACTTCGAGCCGTGCAGCGCCAAACGGATCAAGACCGAGTGCGATGCGACAGGCAGTGGTGTCGCCTACTTTGGCGGGCTCAGCGCAACGGAGCACACGGACATGGAGTTCTTTCGTAGCATTCTACCGGACCTTGCAGCACTGACGCCGCAGCAACGACGCAAGTTCAAAATTGGCATCCTAGAACTAATCGATGAGGTTGTGGAACGCTATCCGTCGCAGGAGCGTTTGAACGGTGGTGTTCCTAACGGCAGTGCTAGTTCTGCAGCTGCTGGTGCCGGTGGCGGCGGAGTTGGCAGTGGTTCCGCTGGCAACAGCACAGCAGTTCGATATCAGCGCCGCAATTCGGGTCGGGAATATAAGTATAAGATATAAGAACTTATATATATACATATAAGATATTTAGTTAGTTAATCTTGAACTAATTGATGCTGAGAGCTGAGAAGCTTAAGATGGGAGCTGAGGGATGCAAGGGTAATGAAGAAAACACAATGCCAAAAACAAATTATGAAAAATACGACTAAAAGTTTGAGACAAGTTTAAAACAACTTAGATTTTTTTTAATTTTCGTAATTTTAATTTTCAAATTATTTTTTTCGAAACTTTTCTAACTTGATAGCATTTTTATTATGTTTTTATACATTTTAGAAATCTATATAAATCTTCGATTTATATGTTAAATGAACAACTTTTCTCCATAGTCAGTTTCACAGCTCTTCAGTGCTTCGATGTTCGGTGTCCATGTGTCGTGTGCTCAATGTGCTAGTTGTAGATATTAATTAACTTAAATGTGGAAGCTCCTGGCTGCTGCAGTGCTTATTGTTGTGTTTATATAGGAGATATTGAATAGTATAAGCCGCTTTGTATATAGAAATGGATGTTTTGTTATAGTACGTACTTAGGTTAAGCTATATAGAATTGATGTACAAAATCGTTGCAGTCTAGACTAGGCGAGAGATTCCTAAACTCGTGTCAAAGAAATAAATGAATGTATGAAAATATTACATGTTATAGTTTATTATAAAGCTTCAAACTTCAACTGTTATTCATGTGGCAGGCGGTTACTACTACAAAAATTCTTTGTGAGAAATGCATTCGAAATAAGGCTCTATAATTCATAATTCATAATTCTCTTTAAAGCTAAATTTCGTGTTTGTATTGTCGTTTACAATTTCGCAGCGTTAGAGCTGGGATAGAATTTCTTGGTTGGATCCTTAGCCATATCGATCAATGTCTGAGCTGGCTTGAAGGGAGCACCATACAGATCGGCATATGACTGCATTTTGCTGACCAGTTTGCCTGCACCGTATTGGTCTACCCAGCGGAAGGGTCCGCCTGTAAATGGTGGGAAGCCCAATCCGAATACAGCACCCACATCACCTTCCAATGGGCTGTCCAGAATCTTCTCCTCCAGGCAAAGCACAGCTTCGTTGACAAAACGGGAAACCATGCGCATTGTCAAATCCTCAGGAGTATTGGCGCCCTTGGACACCAGCGAATACTTCTGCTTCACAATCTCCAGGGCATCAGTGTTGACTGGACGGCTGCCCTTGCTCTGACCATCGTACAAGAAAATACCCTTGCCGGACTTGCGACCTAAGAAACCTGCTAATACCAGATCCTGCATGACTTCCAAATTGCCGCCACTGAAGCGGTCACCGAAGGATTTGGCTAAATCCACGGCAATGTGAGAGCCCACGTCAATGCCAACCTCATCGGCCAGTGTGGCTGCGCCCACTGGGAAGCCGAACTTCTTAGTTAACTTATCCAATTCCTTGGCATCCACGCCCTCTTGCAGCAGTCTAAGCAAACAGAGATTAACATTTGGTTTGATAAGCAAAAAGAAGGATTTACCTTATGGCCTCGGACAACATTGTGGCCAAAATGCGCGTGGTATAGAAGCCGGGCCCATCTCCCACAGTAATCACAACTTTGCCCTGCTTGAGGCCCACAGCGACAGCCTGGGCAACGGTGTCCTTAGAAGTGCCTGGATGTGTAATGATCTCCAGCAGCTGCATTTTGTCCACGGGCGAAAAGTAATGCATTCCAACTACTTTCTCGGGACGGGAGCTGCCAGCAGCTATCTTTGTTATGGGAATGGCGCTGGTATTGGTCGCAATGATGCAGTGCTTCGGGACCACAGCCTCCAGCTCCTTGATCACACTATGCTTTATTTTGATATCCTCAAAAACAGCCTCGATCACAATGTCCGCAGTCTTAAAGTCGTTGTAGTTTAGTGTGGGTAAGAGCTGCGCCAGCGTCTGATCGCGTTGCAGACTTGAGATACGTTTGCGGGTAACAGCCGTGGCCAGGCCCTTCTGCACTTGCCCGATGCCGCGTGCAAGACCTGCATCAGTAGCATCTTTCATGACCACGTTGTAGCCCTTATCCAGAGAGACCTGCACTATGCCGGCACCCATGAGTCCAGCACCAAGCACGCCTAAAGTCTTAACGGGGCTTTGTGGATTGCCAAAGCGATTCTTTTTGCACTCGGTCTGGCCGCGGAAAAGTCCGATTAAGCCCTTAGATTCAGGTGTAGCCGACAACTCGCCAAAGCCCTTGCGCTCAGCCTCGTAGCCAGCATCGGCGCCTTTGTCGACACCAGTACGAATCACATCGACAATCTATAGAGCGAATCATGTTAATTCATATAAATAGAGAGTAAATAAGTAGCTAGCTTACTTTCAGGGGCGCTGGATAGAGACCACCAGACGCCTTCATCACCTGCTGGCGCGCTGTATCAAAGATTTTGTTCTTAACAAAGTCTGTGTCCATGATCAACGCTTGCAGTTTGTTGACCAACCCAGTTTTCTCACGATTGACCTGGAAACAAAACCGAAGTAAGCATTTCATCTCATATTTACAGCAGTGAATGAACTTACGCGCAGTTTGCCGCTGGCCAAATCGTTGGCTACTTGTATGGCCGTCTTTTCCAGATAATCCATGGTATTTTGTTCAGCGGGCTGCAGTCCAGGTCCAATGGGATCGACGAGCAAATCGACAATGCCCAAGCGCTTAGCACGATCGGCACGCACCTGTTTGCCAGTTAACTCCATGTCCAGGGCAGTGGGCACGGATGTCAGCTTGGGCAAACGAACAGTGCCGCCGCCACCGGGCAGCAGACCCAGCATAACCTCTGGCAGACCAAGTTTCGTTTTACTATCCTTGGTGGCAATGCGATAGTGACAGGCCAGCGCCAATTCTAAGCCTCCACCAAGGCAGACGCCGCTGATGGCGGCCACAATTGGTTTGCGACTGCGTTCCAAGCGCTCAAACATCAGCTGACCGCCATGCGAGATAAGAGTTGCATCTTCGGCCGTCTGACATGCCTCCAGCATACCAATATCAGCGCCGGCTATAAAGCAGCCCGGTTTTCCCGATATCAGCACAGCCGAGTTGACCGCGGGGTTGGTCTCGAGATCTTTGATCATAAGCTCAAACTCATCACTCACCTCCTTGCCTAAGGAGTTGACCTTGGCATTGGGAGAATCGATCTTTATAACCAACACCCCATTGACAACTTTAGTTTGCAGATGCTTATTGGAGACGGCTCCGGCAGCTGCCGGTGCAATTTTTGGAGCTGGATTTGTGGACATTAGGCGACGTTGCAATTGAATTGCTTGCGGATATGCTGAGAGTGAACAATTAATGTTAGCAAAGCTTTCACAAAATTATATTTCATGCTCAGTTTTAGAATTTTGCATTATCTGCGATGGCGATAGTACAAAGTTCAAAGTCCAATTATATGATTTCTAATATCTCAACGATTAACAAGACTATAAATATTATATTATCTTCATTATACACACATGCTATTCTATATCGGCTTTTATCATTCGATAAATGCATTTAAAGTTATATTGTTAAATTACCTCTAGAGCATTTATTGTGCAGTAATTGGTGCCTGGATATTTGACCAATTGCACATAGAATTCTGGACGACATGTTTACACTGATTTTTCGATGCACAGTTCGTTATAGGTGCTATAAACTTAGTGTAGTTAATAAAATAATATTCGTAGGCACTTTTAACTTGAAAATTAAATTTATTAAAATAAAAAGTTGTATAAAAATCTGTGCCGACTTGTTGCACACTGCAAGTACCGACAACGTAAGCGAATCTATCGATGACAAAAATTGGCCAACCACCACATTTCACAGATGGTACAGTTTTGGTTTAAATGATATCTAGATGGTGCTTTATAAGTGCATTTTGCATCAGCGGGTTTTTATATTCAATAAAAATGCAGGAAAGTATACAATAATGGATTCATATATGTCTATAAATATAATGAACAATAATGATTAAAAGGCTTTTGCTTTGTAGATGGGTATAAATGCTTAAAACTTTGAAAATACGATTTCTTTAAATAATTTCAGTAATGGCGCTATAGCTATGCGTTTTAATTTAGCTGTAGATGGCGCTATTAAAAATGAAAATTAATAAGGTTCAAATTAAATTGCATGAAAACAATACATTTTTTAAATTATTAAATTTAAAATTAATGCAAAAAGCATTCATTAAAAAGTTAGAAATAGTTAATGAATTACCAAGATATTCTGTTAAAGAATGTGATTTAGACTCGGTTGATTTAGTTCACTACTTCTAATGCGGCAGTCCACATCTGTGGGATTAGTCTATATTAATGTATTTTATACCATTTACACATATTACAGTCTCTATTCATTGAACTTTAACTAATTGATATATGTTTGACATGATCAGCCCGCTGATATTGGAGGGTCGTTGAGGCCAGCATAGTTTGAGTTGATTTCTATGTGTCAAATACTCAAGTGTGACTTCTCGCCTGGCTTTTGACACATCCTGTCTATCAGAACATTCAGGCGATCCAGCTGCAGAAATGCAAAAAACGATTACCTATTTAATTTATGATACGTGGCAAAAGCTGTGCGCATTCAACGTCAAATGTTGCGACAATAAAACCCACAACAATGTGCCGAAATGTTCATCCAAAACTATTTAACGTGCCCACTTCAAAAGGACACGCCACGCCACAAAGAGAACAAACGCCTCGGCACAAATGAGGCGCACTTAATGTGCGGTTGAATGAGTCCTGGACGCATGCGCGAGGAGCTGACCCAAGCGCTACAAACGAGTGTCGCGCATGTCCCACAATACGTGTCACGGGGTGGGTCAGCGTGAAAATTGCCTGAACAACAAAAGAACAAAGAGGTAGCTGAATAGAGCGAACCACAACAAAAAATGTTTTCTTGCTGTAAAAAATATAGAAGGTTAAGATAAGATTCGAATTTTAAAATTTAATATTCAAACTCTATTTAACATTTATATAAATCGAATGAACAACTTGTTCTGCTGTGTATTACGCTGTTTAAGAATATTGTCGAGCCATTCGAGAAAAAGATTTCTTCAAGACTTTGCCGCTGGGCAAGTCTAAGCTTTCATATTAATTTACTTTAAGATTTTGGCATGATACAGCTTCAGTATATTCTAAAGAAAACATTAAATTAAATTAAATAGATTATAAATACTAATTGTGAGGCAGGTGAATATTATCATTAATATAAAAAGCGTTTGCAACTATTGAGATAGGCTGAGTAGATACATGTTTCTGTTCAACTCTAGAAGATGTTTATTAAAAAGAGAATTATTATTTATTATTTAACATTTATTTTATTATTATTTTTATTTATTTAACATATTGACGTAAGATTACGTTGCTTGATAGCCTTGCTAATTTATTCTTTAACTGAGTCTAACTAAATATTTAACAATTCTATTTTGTTATCCTGAATCCATTAAAAAAGGAAACTGCAAACGTGCTTTAGTTTTTCCTTAGAGAATACCCAGATTTTGTATATGTCTGATTGTGGTTAAATTACATCTAGAGATCAATATTACGTTTTGACTAGGTTTTGATTAAGAAAGTCCAGCTGGAAGAACTCCAACTCCGCAGCAAGCAGAAAGCCATCACATACGTACACACAGATGCATGTGGGTGTATGGAGGGTGTTTGCGAGGGATGTATAAAATAAGAAAGATTGTACTTACGGCACTATAGCACTATATACAGCACTATCCCTTAGAAGCCTCGACTGCCGACTAGAATTTTCCTTATATTTGAATAAAAAATATTCATTTGTTTTCATATTTTATTTGCTCATTTATTATTTTTATTACGATTATTTTTATATGTTAAAATTATTTTTATATTAAAAAAGAAATTATTTTATATTATATTAATTATAGTTTGCCGAGTTTTGAAGCGAAAAGTTAAAAAACTTTATGTTTAATTAATTTTAATTTTAATTTAATTAATTCTTACTTTTAATTAATAATATATTAATAATTTATTATATATATTATATATTGTTATATATATTGTATATATAATTATATATATTAGAATTATTAATAAATTTGGAAGATACTACTAGGGAGTATTAAAACAATTTAGTATTAAATATTATACAGTAGCAAAAAAATATTATAAATGCTTAAACAATAAGGCGTGCCACAAAGATAGAGGAGTTTGCTTAATGGATTACCCGCTCAATCGCCACTCGAGCTGCCACTTTATATAGATATAAACAGCTAAATACACCTTTCTCATATTTTTTATAAACCAATAATCCCTAATGATTTTTTTATGCACAATTAAAGGAGCAGTCAGAAGGCTGTCGGCCAAGTACTCAACTATTTGAAATTCATTTTTTTGCAATTGTTGTTTTTTATGCTAAGCTGATTATAAATAATTGAAAGTATAAAAAACGTATGCTGCTCGAAAGGGTTTCCCAGGGGCACGACCCTAATGAGGGTTTGAGGTTGCGACCATAAACAAAACGCCCATTAGTTGTCATGTTGAGCGTGCGCGAGTCGCGACGCGTGCGTCCTTCAAGGATATTCGCGGATTGTAAGCGAGCCGGGGTGGGGGGCAATCGAGATGACTTTGTTTCATTCGCTATTTGCATATATAATTCAAGTCCAGACTGGCTACCCCCGGGCGCAAATGAAAACATTTATAATGTTTTGATTTCATTTTATGTTAATTTCCCGACCATAAATCAAGCAAGAGCGTGTGCTTCCTGTCTTCCTGACTCAGAGGTCGCGTATTTGTCCTTGTTTTGTTTGATTAGACCCTAAAGTAATAATATTTACGTATATATATATACATTTATATAGCACCCAGTTGTATGCAAATGCGTTCGACTGACTTTGTTCCATTTGTGTTATCCTCAGCTGAGCATTATGCAAATTCGTTTGCCTTGATCCTTTCGCTGCCTTTTGGCTGCCTTTTGTAATTCAATATTCGCGTGAAGCTGAGCGCAGATTTGGCATAAACGATCTTTTGGCACATTTCGGGGTGGAGGCTGTGCGAATTTGCCAAAGCTAATTCAATATGCATAACAGCCTCAGCGCCTCACAGCCTTAGAGCCGGCCAATTTGTTAATGAGTCCTTTCGCATCAAATTGCAAATAATTAAGTTGTAGAGCGAAATGTGTGAGAGAACTGCATTTTGAACAAGTTTGATTGAAAAAAAAAAAACATTTAAATGTTAAGGGAAGAATTTTTAAATACTTTTTTGCTGTAATATAAATTGAACTATTGAATTTATTAAAAAATATTTTTATATGATATGAATATCCTAATTAATTACTTTAGTTATTTATAGATAGTTGAACTAGAAATTATTACGAATGGTTATAAATTGAGCATGGAAAATATATTTTATTTATTTTAGTGTTCAATTCAAGAAGTGCTTTCATTAGTTTCCTTCTGTTTGAAACAATTTAATATTTTTTTTTTTTGTTTAAGGCTCTCAAATAGATCGATTTTCGCGCAAAGAATTCCTGATTGATTCATTCTGCATTTTTCTGCTCAAATTTGTAAAGATCCAGCACTAAACTAGATTTGATGCTGAAAAATTCTTTGGAGCAGAAACTATTTTCAGATGATTTCCATTCCTGCGCTATTTCGGCTTTTGAGCATAGTCGAAATTTCTTTAAGAAGGCCAATGTTTGCTTCACCTTTGACAAAAACTGTACGTCTTTTGAATACTTTGATATTAGACACATAATATTTCCTTATATCTTTCTAGAAATGGGTTGTTCGAGAGAAACATCAAGAAACAATATATAATGCAATGGGCGTTGCAAAGCACAGTTTTTGCAATTGAAACAGGTGAATAGAAGAAAGAATCGACTTGGTAGAAGCTATATATATATAGTCAAGAAGAGACTAGAATTGAGCATTGCAAAGAGAAAGCTGCGTGGAAAAGAGTCTATGACTTCGCTGAAAAGTAATATTATATTATTAGTAAAAATATTTAAGTGCAAACTGAACGCAGGCGCACGGATGACACTGCTCCGTTAGAGCCCTTAGCGGGGCGTCATCCTGCAGGCTAATGCGGGATAACGCCTGGCTTCAAGCTGTGTGGCTGCCCAAAGATAGAAGAGGGTTGTTTAGTCTATAAGCAGCAAAATGCAGTCCGACTGATTGGCCTAAGTAACAAGCTGACTAATGGACTGATTCATCTGAAATCTACCTTTATTACGTTACTCTAGAAATTCAAATGTTTTAATTAAGCTTTTCTTCTGCCAACTTTTCCTTTTATAAGGAACAACCTCAAATTATTAAATTAAAACTACTTGAATCAATCCTGAGCTAATTACAAAATATATATGCTAGATACTTTTGTTTCATATTAAGATAATGCCTCTCAATTCTGTGCGTTTTCTGAAGTCCTTTGTCGAATTCACAAAACGAAACTTGTAAACTTAGTTGCCTGGAAAATCATATTTCCGACTGTGACTGGTTCCGATGGATCAGTTTGGAATAAAAGCGAGCCATATACAGACGCTTACACAGAACACGAAATATAGAAACGAAATACATATTTAGTTAGAGATTAATCATGACTCCACCTAAGGAGGACAGCTCGCGTGGACGACGCAGCACCACGGACCCCACTGACAGATCTGCCCGTGTGCGACGTGTGCCACGAAATAATCCAAGTCAAGGGTCTCACCGGCCTCGGCCGCGTCCACCGAGAGCCAGTTCTCGTAGCGATATAACAGGCAGTAGACAGCGCTTTGGGGTTAACGTACATGAAAATATACGCACTGGACGTGTGAATCGTCGAATCGGAAGCCAGAGCTTTAGACGGGTCCCGTTGATCGCCACACGGGAGAGCCTGGAGATATTGCACGGCTACTTGGAGGAATGCGAGCGCAATCTGGCCGAGGGGCAGTTGCAACGCGGCCAGTTGGCTCAGATGGTGTCCCAGTTGTCGGAGGCGCGACGTTTTAGCCCAATGGATGCAGTAGAGTTCCTCGAAGACATGATGCCTTATCAAGGCTCTAATCGCACACCATACGGCACACGGCCCGAAGATCCTGCCGTGGACCCAATGGAATCGAACTCGAATGAGTTCCAAGCGCGCAACGATTTGCCCGATCTGATAAACGCCTTGCGCGTCATGGCGGACGCCATAATTGAATCGCCAGAAGAAAATGCCGAAGCGCAGCCGCGTCGCAGGGATACGGCAACATCAATCGTGGGCGAAGCATCCATGAATGTTAGCGCATCAGTGCCGCCATCCAGCATGGTCGAGGGCATCGATATGCTGGCCGCCGGCGATGGCTATCACGTCTTGCCGATCAATACCGTCCAGTTAAGTCGCTCGACTGACAATATTTTTGCTTTTGTACTTGAATTGAATGATAATCCGATTGAGGCCTCAATTCCACGACCGCCTACCGACAGCGATCAGGATTAAATTAATTTGTTAGCTTTATCCAAAACGGACATGCACATACGACAGATAAAATAGACCTAATCAGAATAAGCTTTTGCTTTATCGTGTGTCCCATAACAATGTTGTTTCAATTATAGGCTCCGTCGGATGTTGGACGAGGGAGATATTACTTCTCTTGATAGAGCTTGAGTTAGTTGAGTGGATAAAGGGTCACTCTTGCAGTGGCTTAGGTGCAATCTTTGCTGGTGTTCAAGGTGAACAAGAGTCATTAGGCTATGCCAAAATATGTTAAGCATTGTTTTGTACGAAATTAGGATTCTGTAGTTGATGAGTAGACGGAGTTTGCTAGTTGAACAACTAGAACTAAAAATTAAATTAAGTTTCAAGGATTGGTGTTTGCATGTAACTAAGTCCCATACTTTTAATATTTCAAATAATAAGAAAATAGTATTAATACAAGAAAAACTAGAAGAATGAACTAGAAGATCATGAATGTGTTTAAGTTGGGACAATATTAGTACACTTTTTGTTTATCAGGAATTTTCAGTTCTGTAAAACCCCAATTGTTAAGCATTGTCTACAATTGAGATTCGAAGTGTGTGTTCTGTAGACCTTCATGTTTTGAAAATAATTCTAAATAATTTCTTTTAATAATTATAAATAATAATAATAATAAATAATAATAAATAATAATAATAAATAATAATAATAAATAATAATAAATAATAATAATAAATAATAATAAATTCATTCTATCAAAATACGAATAATCTGAAAAAAATTTAATATGACAAAGTGGAAAAGGCTACGAAAATCTAGTATTAACTGTAAAGACTCATGCAAATGTAAATTATTATTAACAAGTCAGTACGCTGTAGAGAGGATAGCAGACTAGAACATACTCTGAGCCTAGATCGATCTACATTTTAATATTATACTCCAGAGTTTGTATCTATAGCATGTTTTTATAAAAATTTAAAAAAATGTTCAACATTGGCTGGAGTTGAGCTCGCAACTTATATGCAACGCACATCGCTTTTGTAGCTCTGGTTCTGAGGTTCATACATACAAATAGACAAAGGAGGCTAAAAAGACTCAGCTCGTCGTCCTGATCAAGAATATATATATTTTATGAAGACTGACACGCCTCCTTCTGCCTGTTACATACATTTAAAAAAACTATTATAGCCTGAATGCTCGTTTTTCATGGATTCAGGGTATAATCAGAGAGAGGAAGACAGAAAGAAAGAGAGAGAGAGAGAGAGAGAGAGAGAGAGAGAGAGAGAGAGAGAGAGAGAGAGAGAGAGAGAGAGAGAGAGAGAGATAGATAGAGAGAGAGAGAGAGAGAGAGATAGAGAGATAGAGAGAGAGAGAAAGAGAGAGATTCGACAAAAAAAAATTGTAAAATAAAATAGAGAGAGAGATAGGGAGAGAGAAAGAGAGAGATTCGTCAAAAAAAAATTGCAAAATAAAATAGTTTTTCTGTATTATGTAAAACTCATCTCGGAGCAGAGCCACGTGCTGTGTATTAAAGCAGAATATTGTTTGATCAGATAGACAGTAGCTACGTGTACTACGCAGCAACAGTCGAGAATCTTGTAAGAGCCAAGCTGATTTGATGTTTGAGCTGTTTGACGAATTTCTCATTATATTTCAGGCAATGACAAAAGACACACAAGAACGCCTAACACAGTTATTCTAAACAAAAAAGTATTCAGTTGTTTAAATTAGGTTCCTGCAATACATATATGTTAGTTAGGAATGGCGAAGAGTCGCGATTTGGAGCCCAAGAAGAGTGCGCCCCGGAAGAGTGCCAAAAGAAAGGGCAAATCGAAGCGGAAGATATCCATTCCACTGATCCTCAATTGCGATGGCGATGCTTCTGATCTGCTGCCCTGGTTCGTCAAGGTGGTGGAGCTGCTCAGCAAGGATAGGGATAGCGAGGAGAAGGATGTGCCCAAGAAGGGCTCGCCGACCCGCAGGAAGAGACCACCGAAGTGCAAGACGGAGGAACCGCCACTGCCACTGCCACTGCCAATGCCGCTGCCGCTGCCTCTGCCACTGCCACTGCCTGTGCAATGTTTTCAAATGGACGCAGAGGGAGTGGCGGAAGTGATGGATCAGTCTTCAACGGATCTCTCCGAGTTGCCACAACTTCGAAGCGCATCCAGAAAATCCGTACGTGCCAAGAGCCGTAAGCAAGCTGTCGTAAAGCACAGGCATCGGCATAATAGTCAAGGAGTCAAGCGTGCGGGTTGCGCCTCAGGTCCGAGGCTCAAGCCTTCGAAAGGGCATAAGTTTCTGAAGCTGCCGTGTTCAGGTTCTGTTCAAAGCATGTCGGTCTTGGACGGGCGCAATTCCAGCTCCTCTTCCACACTTAGCTTACTCTCAATTGCATCGAAGCCCCAAATTCGTCCGGCCAAAATCGATGCTGAAACGTCGGAAAGCTTTGTGGCCACGGCAACAGATACGAGCATTTCCGTGCTGAACGATGCTGTGGCCAAATTCGATGCTCGCATGACGATGTTCCTCACGGCGCAACGCGCTGCCCTGGATGCCGTCAATGGAGCTGGCGATGGGCTGATCAGCACCAACAAAATCCCGCCTAATTTCCGGGATGCCTGGAACGATATAATTCACACTGAACCTTCCGAACCTCAGCCCACCAGCCAATGCGAGCTAGATACGAGCATGGAGCGACTCTACATGCCACCCTCAAACTATCAGAACAGCTCCTCGCCCAGTTGCGAAGCTAAGCCCAGGTGCCCAGGTGCGACCGTAGACGCCGCTCCAGATGAGCCTATATTCGCCCATATACGCAATAGCTTACACCATATCTGCGATAACTGTCTGTCCGAACACAATATCGCTGGCAGATTTCGAACAGGACAACATCTTGCTGACACAGGAACAGCGCAGGATGCATCAGCAGAGGCTGCAGCAGCAGTGGAAGACGCAGCAGAAGCAGCGGCTTTTCCTGTTCCTTTCTACAGTCAGTTACGCACGAGCTTGGGTTGCCATAATTTTGATCAAAGCGGAGAGAACTAAGGACTCGATCGGAGCAGATCCATTTGATTTATGCAATTAAGTTGATAAAAACACATTTGAATAAATTAACATTTTAAATAGTAGAAAAGGCGTCGAGGCTGATATATAAATGTATTGCTTTTATTAACAAATTATTAAGCAACATAATAATGATCAAATCTCAAGCTGGCAGAACTATGAGGGAGCCGATAGAGCAAAGATGCAAAAGCCCTGGATGGAGCTTGTATTCAACTGGCATTCTGCTATAGCCTTTGATAAATAGACTCGAATGGCTTTAAAAACTTTTATTGATTTATCACTTAATGAAGTAAACAGTTCAAGTTAATACAGTTGGCTGTTAGGGGTTCAGGGTATTTCCTAGTCGGACCCTCCCAAGTAGATCATTCAAAGTTGTTTAAACTCTAGAAAGTAACTCAGCTAAGGCTTAGGATGCAGTCATGTTCAACTCAACTTCAAATTCAACTTTTTGCTAGCTATATACATTGATCATATCTATCATATATCTATAGAGTTATGAACTTTATATATGCCATGCTGCATGCCTGTGGAAGGCCAGCTTCAAGTGCCGCACCCCCGGGCGGAAAGTGAAGACTTAAGCCCGTCCACAATATTTGCTCTGCCAGTTCCGCTGGCAATTTTGAATGCTTTTCCCATGCCCCATTCAAGGAATAAAGAATTAACTTTCGATATTTGTTTTTCTTGTGTTTTTTTATTACAAAATTCATAAATAGGTGGGTGTTTGTCGCTTAGATAACTAACAGACTAATGTACTTATATATGCACTTAAGTTAAAAACTTTGGAATAGCTGGGGAAACATAATGTACTCAATGGACTTAGGAGCTAGAAACATGAAAAGTTATAAACGTTATAAAGATACAAAACCAACAAGCAGGTGGGGCAACAACAAAACTTTGGAGTCTGCACAACTGGCTGAAGGCGGGGGCGATGGGGGTTCGACTAGAGACTAGAACAACGCTTGAGTGTTTCAAAGGGGCTGGGTGAGATGTGCTTGAATTGTCGAGATCTGGTGAAGCTTAACAGAAGACGCCAATGCCTGACTCTAGGCTAGTTGTCGCTTGGTAGGGCGCCGTTGTGGCCGTTGCATCCATTTGGATGTTCCACACGTTGTCCACGCCTGTGTTGCTGTAGTAGTAGTCCGCAGTTGGATGCTGCTGCAACTGCTGCTGCTGCGGCTGCTGCGGCTGCTGGTAGGAGACGGGCGATGCAATGAAGGATTGTTGCTGCTGCTGCTGCTGCTGCTGGAGTGTCTGTTGCTGATAGGCGGTGGCCTCGTCGTACAGCAGCTCCACTGTGGATGGTCCGCCGCTGTTGATGTTCGGATCGAACACGCTGAAGATCTCCGAGTGTGGCGTATAGAAACCATCCGGATTGGCATTGGAGCTGCCGCTCAGATCCAAGCTTTGCGGCACATAGCCATTGAAGTAGCTATAGTCCTCGGAGCTGTAGCCCGAGCTGCTGGTCAGGCTGGAGGTATCGTCGCAGCTCTCGTACAGATTCATGCCCGCTTGGTAGCCAGCTGACGCCGTCGTCATCTGATCGTAGCTGTTGCTGCTCTGCGGCAGCGACTGCTGTGGCGAGAGCAGAAGCTGCTGTTGCTGCTGCTGCTGCTGCGCCTCCGGTGCATTGTAGTAGCTGGCCGTGGAGCTGTTGGTGGAGAGCGGCGAGTGCAGCATGTCGTAGCCATAGATGCCGCTGCCATAGCCCAGCGACGCGTCCTGCTGATAGTAGCCTTCCGTCGTGCTCCACTGCGGCGTCACGTAGCTGCTTGGCGTCTGATTGAAGCTCGTCGAAGCGTCCGCTGTTGCCGCAGCTGCTGTTGCTGTTGCGGCTGCTGCAGTTGCTGTTGTCGCTGCCTGGTAGCCCGTCAGCTCTGTGCTGGACTGCTGCAGCAGCTCTGAGTTGCTGCTGCGCTGCTTGCGCTGCGTCTTGACCGGACGCTTGTTGCTGCGCAGGCTGCACAGCTTGTCATTGAGCGCCGCATCGCTGGCCAGGATGACGGCCAGGCTGCGCACGCGTCTGTTGCCCGCGAGCAGGCGACGCGCCTCCGTGGAGCCCTTGGCCTCTGGGCGCGCATGATCATGCGTGCCCTTGGCCTGGAAGTAGATCGCGTTGCCTGCGCGCCGCCAAAAGTGTGTGACCGGATAGCCGCAGTGGCCACGACACGGCTGAATCTCCAGGCGTCCATTGCAATTTCTAATTGAAGAAGAAAGTTTTGAGTTAGACTTGACGGCTCGGAGCAAACTCGCTGTAGTTGGCACTTACCTATTGGGGCACTGTTTGCCCTGCTGCTTGCGACGCGCCTTGTCGCATATGGCCGGGCGCAGATGCACGCTGGCTCCATTGGGCAGCCGGCACTTGGCGTTGCAGAGCAGCACGCCCAGGCAGCTCTTCTTTAGAATGTTGACGTTGTGGTTGTTGGTGTTGCGCATGGCCCAGCCGCTGGCATGCTTCTTGGCATCCTCGCTGTGGCCGGCATAGATCAGGCGGCAATGGCCATTGGCCCAGTCGTTGAAGTCGTCGAATTCGCTGACCGCCGGCACAATCGTATCATTGATATCCCATTCGATTTGTATGCGCGACTTGCTAGCCGGCGGACTTGGCACCGGACTGGGCTGCGGCAGGGGCAGAGCCAGAGGCCGCGGTAGAGGCAGGCACATCGTACCGGCCATATTGTTCAAGACCATTGTTAACTAAGTTCTGTTTCAGTTTGAAATGTTTGTGGTTTGTTTGAAACTCTCTTTGCACTTTGCACTTTGCACTGCACTCTGTGTCGAGGCTGTCTCGACTAGCGTTTTTGGTTGATTTTCCGGCGCGGCGTAGACGTCCGTTCACAACGGCTGCGCAATGTTGACTGTCTCTGGCTGTGCCGAACACCACATTAAGTTCCTTTTGACCGAAGCGACGACCACGACGACCACGACGGCAGCGGCGCAGCGGTGGTTGTTTTTGTTCGACTCGCACCGTTGCGCTCTCATTGGCTTGCTTTCCAGTTTATCCGGTTTATCCGTTCATTATCCGTGTACGCCAGCTATCCGTCAGCCGTCAGACACACACGTACACACAGCAGTCGTCGCTAGCACACTCTCTTTCTCACATTTCTACTGGAATACTTTTACCGTTTATACTCATATAATGTGGGCACTCGTCATCCAGTCGTCGCCGCTGACGTCGGCGCTAGCGCTGGCGCTGGCGCTGGCTGTGCTCGGGTTTGATTGGACAGCCATTGGCTTTGGCAGCTGCCGCTGCATTGCTGGAGCAGTCGAGTCTCGGCTGCAGCGCTGCTGTCGCGCTGCTCTTGCATTGGCACACCTGCGCCCCAACTGTCTCTGTCCCCATCTCTGCTCCTGCTGGAACACGCGTCGGTAAAATGGGGCAGGGGCAGGGGGCGGGTGGAGGAAAACATCAGTGGATATTTTTATTAAAGCAGGCAGTCAAAGCTAATTAAGTCTGCGCACAAAGCAAAAAAGTAACAACAATTGTGAATTACCAGGCACCTGGTGAACACACACTGGATGTGGCCATGGGGTATGGGTAACAGGAACCGGCACAGGACATGGCACAGGAACAGGCACAGCCACTGGCACAACCACAAACAGAGCCGAGCAGATGTGCGATTGTGGTTTAGTTTTGTATTGAAGTTTGCGCTCAAAGCAGCATCAAATATGAATGCAAAAACAGCTGAGGGGAAATGTGGTGCTCTGGAGCTGGAAAAGTTTATATATGTTTATAATTAGAAAGATATTTAGAGAGGCAAGTCGAAGTTTGAGCTGAAAATAATTAGAGCGGTTTTTAAAAGATAGTTAAATTAATGTGTTAATATATTAATGAGTTTAAACTTTCTTTATTTTTTGTGGGACTTCAATTCTGTTGTTTAACAAGTAATTTAACTGCAGAACTAATGTAAAATTATGCCAAAATAAAAAGTTCTTTTATTTTTAAATTAAATATTACATTACAACATTTTTAACTGTACATTATTTTAATTTAACTCATTATTTTAACTTACAAAAAATATTTTTTTACATTTTGTAAACATATTTGTTCAACAAAAGAAATGTAAAAGGCTGTAATTTATTGCTTTAAACATTCATTATATGATTAAAAACGCAGAAAAAATTTCCAAAAAATTAAAAAAAAAATAAAGTAAAATTGAATCAAAGAAAAATTAGATTAATTTTAATGTCTCAGATAATATTCTTATAAGAAACTACCATTTCTAACCTTAGTACAGCGCTCATTCGAACATAACGGTGTTACTTCTCACGATCTTTTTAGCGATAAGCTTTAAACGATTGCAAAAAGCAAAAAAAAAAATAAATGAAAAAGAACTCTGACGCTATCTGCAGTAAAATCGGAAAGGAACCTCCTTGCACAGGATCATAAAACACAATTTAGCACGCAAAAAGATGAAGAAGAAGCAGAAGCATAAGCAACCCCACAACCCAAAAAGGATATATGTATGTATATGAAAACCCAAGTCAAATGCCATAACTCAGGCATATGCCATAAAGTTAGCAAACAAATTTCTATAGTCTCTTTCCTTCTCGCTTCTCCCTCTCCATCTCTCTCTACGATCGTAAGCCGTAGATAAAGAAAACAAACATATTCATTAAGACCGAATGCCGAGAGCCGAAAGCTGAAGGGTTGTGCGAACAAGGCGACGGGTAAACACCATAATTTTCACACTTCCCTCAAAAGAAGAAGAAAATCGTGCAATTATGGCACATCACAAACGTATGAATGAGCAACCCGTCGAGTGACTGGCCTGGGACTCAGCAGAGATTGACTGCTCAGCACGCGATATGAGTTAGTTGCGACAGGACCTTAAAGGATTACAAAGTCGAAGGGGCGTTGACTTGAAAAGATGCCATGACTCCGCATATACGACGAAGGAATTCATATATTCATATGAGATTTTGATAACAACAAAAGATCATCTATGCCAGCGCCTGCGCCTACCTGGCCTGGCAGCGCCTTGCCAAGTGGGTGTGGCACTTTAATGATCCCTCAAATTAACTGTTCCATTTCAATTACGTTCACAATGCCAACATCAATTGCAACTTTTCACTTCACTCAAATTTATTTGACATTCTCCCCGGGGAGGCAATCCATTCGAATAGTTTGGCCATTCGAAACTCTTTTTCCACTCACTTTCGACGTTCGGTCCGTGACGCAGCCATAAAATTTTAACCAAAAATTACGCATAAATGTCATCGTAAATTCGACAACTTCCCCGGGCCGAACGTGGGAAGTAACGCCCAAAGGGATTTGTTGCGGTTTTTGGCCAGAGTGCAGCCAGAGTCCGGCTTGAAAGCAAATCTAACTGGGATTATTTGAGCGTAGAGTAAACAGTTTTTGACTAGCTACGCGAAATGTGATTATTATCTTAAGTATTAAACAACAACTATATTATTTTTAATATTTAAATGTATTTATTCAAGAGTGCACGATTGGCAGTCTATGAGAAGCTTATGAGAGCCTATAAAGGGTTATAATAGCTCTGCTCTTCAAATTATTTTATATGATACAGAGAGTTAAAGCATAATAGCATGAGGTCTTTCCTTGAATTCTTATCGCTTCACATTTTTCCGCTCATGGAAAAATTAAAAATAAAATTTATATATTTATTTTTACAAATATTTTTGTATATTATATAATTTTCCTTTTCTATTATTATACTATTAGAAAATCTTACTGAATATTATTAATGCATTTACTAAAATATTTATTACCATATAAGTCTTATATGTAAATGAAATTTCTTAATAAATTTAAAAATAAATTTCTTGGCATTTTTAAGCGGGTTAAATCATAGTGAAAATATTTTAATCAGTTTTGCAGAAATACAAATTTTTATTATATACATTTCTTTTTCTATAAACATTACAGTTATAAAAAATTGGTTACAATTATTAGTTCAACTTATTCAATAGAACTAGCTAATGAAATGACTCAAATATATTTTTATTTGGGAAAGGAACATAGACTCTTGTTAGTCTAGAGTTCCAAAAAATGTTTATATTATATTTTATAATTTTATATTATAATTTTATTACAATAAACTCAATTACTATGCTTGTAATATTTACAAAATATAATAAAATATTTGTGCATCTATATTTCACATAGTGTTTCGGCACTTCAATATCTATATACAAATATATATGGTTCTCATAGCTAATCAACGGTTTTAGTACAACTCGACAATCACATGATAATTTATTTTTCTTAGTCAGATTCCAATCTTTCCCCCTGGCCATATTTCCGCTCTCTGAGTGAAAGGAAATGCTTTCATGCTTTCCCTGAGAGCCGGGGGCTTATCAACTAACTCGCATCTAACAAACAGTCGAACAACAATTCGCAGTTAATTAACTGTACTTTTTGCTATAGATGCACACACACACTCACATACATACATTAATTTATATATGGCCGTCTCTGTTGGCCGCAATTAAAACCGCATATAGGAAATCATTCATTTGGCAACGGCGACAACATGAAAATCCAAATAGCCGGAGAGTTGCGATCGATGCAGCCAGAGATAAGGCCAATGAGCAAGTTGGAAACAACCCTTGGGCTAGTCGGATCATGGTAAATGTTAAATGGTAAATGATTTAAAGCAAGTCTCATAATTTCTCATTGTTCATCTGGCATTTCCACAAAAACTGATAAATGAAGCTCAAAACATAAACGGCAACAACTATATAGCCAACACACAAACACACACAGAAGATCGAGTCAAACTGATAATACCTTTCACACTCTGCGTGAGTCCTCGGCGTTCGCGAGTGTCCTGCGGCGCGGGGACAAGATCGCTGGCCCACGATAGCGTCAGGCTCGCTCGAGACCAGAGAGCAAGAAAAAATTGAAATGTTTCGACTTTCGGCAGAGAGCATACGATCAGCAACTGCGATCGACCGATCGTTCGGACAAGTGGCTGCTAAGTAGCTTGGCCGGCTAATCCGATGTCCAAACAAATCGAGGCTGCGGTCAGGTGTTTATGTGGATTTCGGTTAATGGGCTTAGGGCCCGCTTTGTCAGCTGAACACAATTCTTTATGAAGGATTACGTGTGAAATATTTGTTAAATATTTTCATAATTTCCCACGCGCATTTTTGTCTATTTATATTTTGTTCCTCTCATATTTTTTGCATTTCTTCTCGTTTCGCTTTGTTTCATCAAAAATTGTTCTCGTGCATATTATTTGCTTTGGGTCTGTGGAAATTATCGCATTGAATTACATATGCTCTATGTTGTATATACTTGAACCATAAACAAATTTCTCCCACCATTGGAAGGGCTCGACTGAGAATTGTTATCTACCCGCATTGCCTAATCATAATGCGTTAGACTCACCGTGCAATTCCGAGGAATGAAGCAATAAGCGCAAGAGTGGCAGAGTGAGATAGAGAGAGAGTGAAAGGGAGAGCGATAGAGCGCGTGGCATTTACAGAAGTTGTTTCAGTTTTAGTTTAAGAATCTCTCGAACATTGTGGTATTAGTTTATTTTTAAATTAGTATATATACACAGTATATAGTACATAGTACATAGTACATAGTACATAGTACATAGTACATACATAGTATTATACATAGTTTTTAAGCCTTTCTAGAAAAATATTTGATTTTTAAATTCCATAAAACTATTCGAATATTTTGGTTTAAGTTCGAATTTAACCAAAAA